AAAATCTCAAAATCCTGACTTGCGTTTTAAAACAGGATTCACTATGCAGCCCTGGTTGGCCTCTGGCTCAGAGATCTGCTTGCTTCTGCCTTTTGAATGCTGGGAATAAAGGCAAAGGCTACCACACAGGCTAGGGTGTCTGCTTCTAATAGGAACATGCTTGAGATTTGACCTCAAGGGAAATAGAAATGACCTACCTGTATAATAATATGCACACACACTCCCCCAACCCCCACCCGAGTTGACCTCTGCCTCTTGGCAAGCCATTGACCTATTTTCCTAGTAAGCCCGGGCTGCAGTTATTACCTGGCTGAGTCATAGCTGGAAGATGACCTGGTAATCACACTATGCTCCTAGAGTCCAACGTTCACTGTGCTTTCATAAACTCTTGGTATGTGAAATCTAAAATCTTCGACTTGCTAACACAGGAAAAGCCATTTGGGAAAGCATACCACGTGTTGGTACTGTACTGCCACGTTAAAATCTACTGTAGAGTCATCTAGTTTTTGTCTTATTATTAAATTTGCTCGTGGGTTAATTTTGACTGTTTGTTCAAAACATCTAAATATCCGAGTCACCTTTTCCTTTTGGTGGTAGTTCAGTACTCTAGAGACAGATGGCTTATCTTCCAGTCCTCCTGCATGTGTGAAATTCCTCCCACCCAAGGAAGAATGTGAGGTGAGTATCTGGGCAGGCTTATCTTCACAGAAATAACAGTTAGCAAATACTATTTTTTTTTTTTTTTTTTTTTTTTTTTTGCAAATAGCCAAAGGGCCTGGAAGAAGAGTTGCAGACAAATCTTTCTGACACTCATTCACACTCCATCTCCCTCCTCCACTTCCAGGGCTTGCCAAGCTTGTAGTTAGGATAATCATGGAATTAGTACTCGAAGGCTGTGTTCCTCTGGAGTTATTCAATGGCTAACATTTGGTCAGCACCCTAAGGTTTTCTTTGTATGAAACGCTACTTTCTTTTATGTGTGTATTCTTCTTGTTGAATTTAAAAAACTCAAACATTAATATAGTATTAAATATCACACTTACATTCCAGTGACAATGGAAATCATACTACTTGTAAATGGGGTCCAGTGACACGATGGACAAATAGCAATAACAGCTAACAATTACTAAACACTTTCTGTGACGGCTACTATACTTATCACTTCTCAACCGAGGCGCATAATTATTTTCTCGTTCCAAAAGTAAAGAAACTAAACTTCGTGGATATTTCCCTACAGGCACACTGGTAGAGAACGGCCCAGCTTGAACCTGGCTTCAAAGGCAGCAGGTAACTGCTGAGTTACGGAACAAACAGCAGGGCATGAAAATGCCCACTCATTCTCAAATTCACATACATTAAAAGTTGTTTTTGTGTGTATTGGTGTTTGTTTACATGAGGGTACCCTGGAACTGCAGTTACAGACATCTGTGAGCTGCCGTGTGGGTGCTGGGAGTTGAGCCTGGGTCCTCTGGAAGAGCAGCCAGTGCTCTTAACCACTGATCCATCTCTCCAGCCCTCCACATTTAAAAAATTAACAGAGGCCGTCCCAGTTCACTCACTCTACTTTAAACTGCTTTTGGCTCCAAGAGAAGACCCGCACTTTGAAAAAACCCAAAATGAAAAAATGAAGCCACTCCTTTATTCGACAGCCCTTTGCTGAGCCACTCCTTACGAACCAAAGCTCAAGATGAGAATGCTTGCCTTTTGGGGCGGTCAAACAGAGTGGAGAAGGCAGAGCTGCTGGCCACACCCATGTCAGAGGGCAGATGTGGGATGGTGAGGGTGCCAAGGAAACACAAGAGAAAGAAATCTTGTGAAACACAAGCCATTTAAAGGCGTCTGTGGGCACACAGGTTCCCGAGGACGCTGCCCAATTTTCTAGAGTAAGAATTACAGGAGGTTGGGAGTCACATGGCAAGGTACTGAGAACCAAACTCGGGTCTTTCTGGGAAGAACAGGAAGTGCTTAACTGCAAAGCCATCTTCTCACTCCCCTGTGAGGTGTATGTTTTCTAGGCAGAGAAGAACTGCGGGGGGGGGGGGGGGGTGACAGCAGGCTCAGCCTAGATGGGGGTGAGAACAGATTGCGAAAAGTTAGGCAAGGCTAAGATGCATAGCACTGAGTAAGAGGTAGACCATGTAGAGATAGGCCAAAAGGCCAACTCAGATTTCAGAAAGGGAAAGGCTGGGTACTGATGGCGATTGCCTCGGAATCTATGCAAAAATCCTCAGTGTGTGTGTGTGTGTGTGTGTGTGTGTGTGTGTAGACATCAGGAAGTGGAGATGTCTATCCCAAAAGAGGAATCTCTTCTCCCAGAATTGTGTTCCATAGATTACACCAAGTTCAGTAGCCCAGCTTCTTCATCTTTTTCTTGTTTTGTTCTGGGTTTTGAGATAGGGCTCCCGGGCTTCCCTGTGAAGTCCAGATTGGTCTTGAACCTCTAACTTTCCTGTAGGAGCCTCCTGGGCACTGGGATTCCTGGCACATATCATCCTAACAATTCTCTTCCGTCCAGTTCGAAAACAGAACAAAAATACTGCACTTCAAAATTAAAATCAGAGACTTGGGAGTGAGCTGCAAACTAATCTTTGGCACGCTCAAGTAACAAGCGAGAGGCCATTAGACTGCACTGCCTCATCCTCCTCATGGCCTCAGTTAAACAACTCACTCAGCACAACCCCAGAGCTTCAGCCAATCAGAAAGCACCTTCAGTGGCACCCTAAACTTGCAGATGTTTTCCCTTATGCTGCCTGATGAAACGACAAATGTCTTATCATTTGGCGACGCCTGATTCTTGAGTTACTATTCACCCAAACAATTAATAGAGGAATGGGAACGTGAAAGTAGGAGGGTTAGGACTTCAAGGCCAGCCTGGGCTACAGGAGACCCTGTCTCAAAACAAAACCACAGCTGAGAGGGAAAGGGTCTCAGTTATGGAGCCCTGGCTGGCCTGGAACTCGCTATGTAGACAGAGCTTGTCTCAAGGTCACATATCTCCTCTGCTTCTGCCTCACAAGGACTGAGATTAAAGACATGAACCGCAATGCCCAGCCAAAAAACCTCTTGATAGGCATCACCAAATGTCAGGCCCCAGTCACCACATCCCTTGGCTAGTTGTCACCATTTCAATGAAGTGACTGCCTTTCCTCCCATGGCTCAGATCCAACCACACTAGGAGTGACCACCGTTCATCCCTTCAGCAAGTCTTTTTCAGAGTGTACAAAATACCCGATCATCTCTCCATTTGCTGAATAATCCAAGCCACTGCCATCTCGTGCCTAGGTCACTCCAGGGCACCAGTTGTCTCCCACCCTCCGGTGGCCCCTTCGCACCTGCACAGCTGGCTAGAGTTGTTCTTAAAAAAACCTGTGTCAACAAAGCCTTTGTCTCATCCAGCCATGGTGTGGCACAGACCTGTCATCTGAGTGTTCACCAGGCTGAGGCAGGAGGCTAGCTGGGTTACCGAGAGAGACTGTCTAAAACGCAATTGCAACAGGGTGAGCCTGGTCCCATCTCTTTTGAGCAATGGCTCAAATCTTAACTGCTCATTATCTGCCCAACCCCGGCCCCGATTGGTTCCTCCATCTGGATCATCTTCATTATCTCCCCTCTGGCTGTAGGGCGTCCTTACCTCCCTTGATCGGAATTGTTTGCCTTGAGGGAGTTCTCCAAATGTTCAGCTCCTGTTCATTTGCAGACTCCTGGACAGAAGTAGGAACCCTCCCAGCACTTCCGGTCCCTAGGTAGGGCTTCCTCCATGACACCCACTGTCATCTGACCTGCCTACCTCTCCTGCATACCTGTCTTCCAGGCAGGAATTCTGCCTTGCCATTTCCTGATAGTACTCTGGAGCTGAGACCAATGCCCAGACTGTAGAGGGCCTGCACATCGAAAAGCATTTTGGGAAGTTAGTTGTGAATTTCTTCCTCCTCTGCTCGCGCAATGGCTCCTGAGCAGCCCATTGCAAGAATCTAAGTTTCAAGTGAGTTATGTGAGAGACCACCAAAGGAACCAACTTGCCACAGTTTGATACCATCACTTTCTCCTTTAAAACCTCTTCAGCCAAATGCCTGTTAGCGCTCTAAGAGGAGATACTCCAGTTAGCAAGGACAGTGTGCTGGTGCTGAAGGCCAAGGACATTCCTTAAGAGCTAGAAAGGGGAGGGGGGTGTAAAATGACACTCTTGAAAAGGTTCCAGGGTGTTTTTATTCTCATCATCACCTTTTATCAAGGTTCTGTGGTGTGTGGCCACCTCAGGTGGCCAGAAGCAGCTGAAGCTGGGTCAGTGGTCCCTAAATGGAGGCCTTGGGCCACCAACACAATCACCTTCACTTGTGGCAGACACAGGGCACAGCACAGGGCCCCTTCTGGAGCTGGTGAGTCATACGCTCTAGAGATAAGGCTGGGGAAGCCGGGAGCTCTCCGAGTTTGCCACACGTACGTACTGCAGTCTAGCTGAGTGCAACGATAGCATTTCTAGGTTTTAAACATTTTTGGTTTCAAAGAATTTTTTTTTTTTTTAAGAGAGAAGCGTCTTTATTGTCTGAAGCACAAAAAAGAGTAAACAAAAGTTAGTATTACAGTTCATTTTTTATGTAGTCTTCTCAATGAACGTATAAAAATACAAGGCCACTTAGTTTTGTGAGCTCGTAAAAAAAATGTCTAGACAATCACACAGGACAGAAAAAGCATTTACAACATACAGTGACGTAGAAGATAAAACCAGCTCCTAGGTATAGGATGGAAACTACGTGGAGAAAGGCTTCTCAGTTCTCACACTGCCAGGACTTCATTTTCTGTTCCTTTTCAGTCCACAAACAGCATCTGCCCCTGTTACACACGCGTGTCTGGCTAGCTGCCTCGAATTTGCCTTTTTTCTACTCTGATTTTCATTTTAACATAAAGAAATATTCTTAATTTGTAACCAAGGTCTTTTAGAACTCACTTTCATGTCAAGTCATAATTCATTAAAATAAAAATAGAAGATGCATTCTTTAAAAAAAATAAAAATAGACTTAGTCAGCCACCAGCACTGCCCTAAGTAATAATATACATGATTCATATATATACGTGAGTATATATTTTTTTATCATTTTGGCTTTTTAACACACTGGAATCACACAAACATAATCTCTGTGAACTTTAATCACAAAGTTCAGTATGACCTAGACCACTCAGTGTGTTCGTCTGTAACTCAAGCCTCCTGTGCTTCTCCCGGAAAATGAGGAAAACTCCTGCTCTGTTATGTGTGCCCAGCTCCTAACTAAGCTCCCTCTTGCTGTGGATAGTCTCTGTGAGTACCTTCTCAAAGCAGTTTTTCTGGCCTGAAAGAAATACGGGGTGGCTCAATAACACATTCCCTCCATGTAAGATGCTGTTTGAAAGGAAGTGAATTATTTCACATGGAGGGTGTGTTCACCTAAGAATTACATTCATTATCTTCAGAAATTGCCTGGACATGGTCAATCTGAAATGATTTAACAATGAAATCTAGAGGTCTGGTTGCTTTCCTGGTGGGGCTTTGCACTTTATATAAAACCTGACATTTCAAATATTATGGGGCTGGGGGATTTAAATGCATTTATAACTTTATTAGTGCAATTATAACTGGGAGGCGCTTAAATTGATCCTTGACATTGATTCATGTGTTTAAGTTAGCTCTTAGAAAAATGACTTTGACCTCTTGCTCTGTTACTCGCCCTCTGAAGAAGCTGTGGTAATGAGTGCATGGTGGGGGGGTGGACCGCCTCTGCTACCTGCCCGACCGTGTGAACACTTCTTCGTTTATTGGCCTGTGCTCACACACTCTCTTGGTCAAGTTCTCTGCTGGATGACACTGAAAAGCTTTTGCTGATTCTCAAGGCAGCCTTTCAGCTTATCTTCGGTCAAAGTCAGCCGCTGCTCCAGAATTGAAACGGTCTGGGGGGGAAAGAGAAGGGTGACCCCGTCAGTGCTTTAGAGCGATGCCTGCAGCTCCACGGCACATCTTGCTGGACTTGGGTATCCATCACCTGCCCCCAAATTGGCTAAAACATGGGCCCCAGTCTTACTGTGCTGTTGAGCCCAGGCACAGAGCAAAACATTATCAAGTACTAAAGAAGTTGAAACAAAAACAAAAACCCAACCCAAACAAAACAATTGGTGTGCATGGATGGCCATGAATTTGGGAAACGCCCTTCCATCTGAGATCCTGTCTTCCAGGCCATAGCCAGCGTTCTAAACGACACAGGTGAGCTACAGATTCCCTACTGCTGACATGTCACCACTGGCCATCTTGTCACAGTCCATTCTGCAGTGAAACATCCCTACAGCACTGCAGACTGATGGAAGTGACATTACTATAAAAACACCACGATGGCCAGCGGCTCCCTCGTCCAGGTAAGGGCACTGGCGGCATGGTTGGAGAACTAAAGAGCAAGTGTCTAAGCTGCTGGGCACCAAGGACTTGGCAGAGCCTAGCTCTCCTAACTCCTTCAGCCTAAGTTCACATCCTCATGACAATACAGTCATAGGTTGATGTTAAATTTGGGGGAAATAATTGTGATATTGTCCACTTGCTTATAACTTCTCTTAAAAAAAACAAAAACCCAAAACTCAAAGCCCAAAATCAACAGCCGGGGGTGGGGGGGGGTGGGGGGGTGGTAGTGACGAATATCTTTAGTCCCAGCCCTGGTCTAGAGTGAGTTCCAGGACAGACAGGGATACACATAGGAAGCCTGTCTTGGAAAAACAAAAACAAAACAAAACAAACAAGTAAAATCAAACAACTCAACAACCCCCTTTTCATTATAAACTAATACAGACCAGGAAGCCACACAAAACGTATGTGTTACTTAGCAGTTCCCTTAAGAAACCAGTTGTCACAATTTTACCTTTCCCTGTCTATACCAGCTGACCTTTATAACCACTTTCTTATATCTCCTTGGAACCACAACTTCACGTTGCCAGTTTCAGGTCTTGGCATGTTACTTTTAACCCACAACTTCACACCTCTGTCTGCCTTTCTTTTCTTGGCAGTCAACAATCAGCAGGTTCAGGCCATTTGTACATGCCATTTACAATAATCTATACTTCGGGACTACACTGTTAGGATACAGCTCAGCCTGCTAGCTTCCTCTGCAGATCCTGTGACTAGCACTAGGTTCCTAACCCTTAGTCTGACCAGAGCCACTGGTGATGTATTTTGTCACTAGAGGACACATTGGTAATGCCAGGTGTATCCCCTTCAGTGATGGTTCAGGGACGAATCAAATGGGGAAATGGAAGTGATAATCTATCATTAACATTTTTTCTTAATTGATATATTATATAAATAAGAGTTCCTACAATATTTCTAAGAGTCCAGTGGTAGATGCAGAGTCAGTGTTGACAACAGAGGTAATTCTATACAGGAGGTATTTGGGATTGAAATATTTATTCGGGGCAAGAAACTGACGTTGCTCTCTCTCATACATTTACTCCTTGCTCTGAATGACTCATGGCAATGTGTGCACTGACCAATACTGTACACAGCAAAGATTAAGTGTACACAGTGAGGAGGACAACAGATGTCTCCAAAGGACACAATCAGCGGACAGGGCAGAGAAACTATGATTGCATCCTTTTCAACACAAGACTTCCCTTACATTAGGTATGTATCTCTCAAGAGCTGGGAGATTTTCAGAACAACATTTAAGGAATGGTACTTCTTATTGGTAAAGGCCTCAAGACTGGCTATGATTCTAAAATGGACAGACAAGCCATCTCCCTGGGAAGAAACTCTGGAGAGAGACATCACACACTCAGCAGGCAGAGGATTTTCAGTGAAACACTATAAACTTTGGCAATATTTTGTACTACAAAGGAGTGTTGGCTTACAATAAATTTTTCTTATGCTATTTGATATTTCTTAATAAATGACTAATATACATATACTACATCACAAATTCAAAGGATGAAACATTATTGCTTAAAACCAAATACCATTTATAGCACAAAGTACCACTGCTATTTGCACAGGTGACACAGGATGCCAAAGAGAGCCCAGGATGCTTTGTACACACACACACATGAGAGAGAGAGAGAGAGAGAGAGAGAGAGAGAGAGAGAGAGAGAGAGAGAGAGAGAGACAGAGAGCACTTCTGAGATACTTTGTACAAATTTGCTCAGAATACTATAGCCCTAAGTGTCTTGCTAATGACAATTTGAGTCTGCCTTGCCAGTAAGAACCACCCCTCTTCCCTAGCCTCACATCCTGCTATGCCCAGGCCTGCTCTACACATCTTACCCTAAGGCAGAAGGTCAACCTACCTGTGTTAAAACATTGAGCTGTTCCATGATGTGTTCTAGGGCATCAGTCACAGCAAGAGGTACACTTCTTTGGCTGTCAAAGGGAAGGTCATTTAAGTCTTCTGCTTTCTTCTTCACAGTTGTTGATGCGCAGTCTGGTATTAAGGAAGGGTTCAAGAAATACCCAGAAATGTCTTCACCCTTCTCAGGCGCAGCTCGGCTAGTGGAATCCGTCGTCTTTAAATGCCACGGAAAAGGCAGGGGCAATTAGAGTTTCCAAACTTAAATAACACATACACACATATGCATATATAAATATATATCTAACAGTTCCAGATTACAGTGAATCATTTATCTTCTTCTTTACATAACAGAATTATAAATTACAATTACAATGGAGAAACAAAGCTAACAATAAGTAGAAAAAAATTTACAATGTTCATTCATCTTCTGTGAAGCACTTCCAATATGCCTGTCTCATTAGGGGCTTTTCCATTTAAAAAGGTTGCGGAAGCTGTGTGTTGGTGGCGCTGGCCTTTAACCCCAGCACTCGGGAGGCAGAGGCAAGCAGATCTCTGTGAGTTTGAGGCCAGCCTGGTCTACAGAGTAAGTTTCAGGGCAGGCTCTAAAGCTACACAGAGAAACCCTGTCTCCTTGAAAACAAAGAAAAAGATTGCCAAATGAAGTTTATTTTTCAGTCTAAAATGAACTTCTTCCTCTATTAAGATGACTATTAATTCCACCCCCCCAAAGGAAAATAACAGTTGCTGGTGAAGATGCAGAAAATGTAAGTTGTCACCCTTCACTGGGAAAGCATGAACCGCTGAAGCCGCCATGGGAGGGAGGCTTGGTAATTCCTCAAAACATTAACCATAAAATTGCCATGTGATCCAGCAACCCCACTCCGCAGTACACATCCAAAGGGACTGAGAGCAGAGGCACAGGAGTCCAGAACCCCAACATCCATGGCGGCCATCCTCACAACAGCTTAAAAGGGACCTGACCCATGGGGCTGGAGAGATGGCTCAGTGGTTAAGAGCACTAACCGCTATTCCAGAGGACCTGGGTTCAGTTCCCAGCACTGTCATGGCAGCTCACAATGTCTGTGACTCCAGTTCCAGAGGACCCAATACCCATGGCAAAACACCAATGACATTAAAAAAAAAAAAAAAAAAAAGAAAAGTGTGCAGACAAAATGTGGTACAAACTGCTAGTGAAACTGTATTCGCTGTGAAATGAAATTCTGATAATTCTACCACGGGGGGGGGGGGAACCTTAAAAACATTACGCTAACTGAAGTAACTAGACAAGCAATGACCCATGAACTGAACGCAGTATTTCAAACAGAGTCAGGGATGAAAGTTACTAGTGTCTGGGAGAAAGGGTAATGATATTTATTACTTAATGGGAAAAAAAAAAAAAAAACCCAAAACTTTCTGTTTGGGATGCCAAAAAGTTGTGGAAATGAACAGTATGAACAGTGGAGACAGAACGTAGTGAGTTTTGTGAATGCATCCCCAGTAAACCAAAAAGTGATTAAAAAAAAAAAAGTTACTTCTTTGTTACATATAACTCACTACAATCAAAATCCCCCCAATTAAATAACGGCAAACTACTAGAAAACAAACTTAAGAAACTAATTGCATTTAGAATAGCATAAAAAAGTAAAATATTTAGGGACTGATTAAACAAACTGTAAGCCACCACTAAATGGAATTAAAACTCCAACTGAATGGAAAGACACTTCATATCCTATGCTCACAGATCTGAAAATGAACACCGTTAAGATGCTAACACTGGCCAGGTGTGGTGGCGAATGCCTGTAATCCCAGCACCTGGAAGACTGAGACTGGAGGGCCACAAGTTTCACTACAGCCTGGACTAGCTACATACTGAGATTCTGACATGAAAAATAGCTGTCCCCCCAACACTGGTGAAGGCACTCAGGGCAATCCTTACCAAACTGCCAGCCCTTTTTGTCTTTGCTTTCTCTGTGTAACAGCCTTAGCTGTCCTGGAACTCGCTCTGTAGACCAGGCTAGTCTCAAATTCAAAGAGATCCACCTGCCTGTCTCCTGAGTGCTGGGATTAAAGGTATGCACCACCACAACCTGGCTCCAACTACTTTCCTTTACAGAAAGTTTAAGGTGACCTTAAAATTCACACAGAAGTGTAAAGAACCCACAGAGCTAAAATAGCAGGAGAAAAGAGCCAGACAACATATTGCAAACAGAAAATGTTACCAGCAAATTACAGTCCCTGATGCGGTGTTGAGCTAGGATGTAGCACAATGGTAAGGTTCATGTCTGGTATGTGGCTGGCCCTGTGTTTTGATCCCTAGCACCTTCAAAAGATTCACAGACCAACACGACAGATTTGACAGGTCAAAAATAAACCCATATATTAACATATGGTCAACTGATTTCAGACCACTGCCAAGAAAACTTATTTTGGAAAACAAAAGATGCTGGGGAAACTAGGTACACTTAAAGGAATAAATTTGTAGCTTTACTCCACGCCATATACAATATTAACTCAACAAAGGTCAGAGACTTAAATAGAAGAGCTAAAACTATAAAACTGGTCAAGGTCAGGAAAATTTAGCTCTGTTTCCTTCTACAAGTTTTATAGTTGACTCTGCTACATGGCAATTGTTTTTGGCCACATTCATGGCTATCATGGGATGCATGTGGCCTGGCTTAGATATTCCTGAACTAGACAAAATTTCTTTATGTACAATATCAAAGTCAAGATGACAAAATAATAACTACATTGGACTTTATCATTTGTATGTCTAAGATACCATCAAGATAGCAAAAAACAAATGGAAGAAAACATCTTTGGATCAAATACTTGATAAATAACTTGTACATAGACACAAAGACTTGCAATTCAACTATTAAAGATATATAATCTAATTAAAATGGACAGAATGTTTGAATATACATTTATCTAATGATACGTAAATAGCCAATAAGCTCACAAGCATACGTTGAACTCCATCAGCAACAGCAAATCAAACTACAAGGACATTTACTTCACATGCACTAAGATGGCTGAAATAAATGATACACAATAATAAGTGTGTGTTGGGGGGGTCGGTGCTGAGAACCTGGAACCCTCAGACACTGCTGGTGGGACTGTAAAAATGTAGACATTGGGAAACATTCAATTGAAACACAGAATTACCATATGACTTAGCAATCCCATTCTTAGATATAAACCCAAGTTTATAGTAAAAACATATCCATACAAGCTTGTGTTAGGAACAATCCAAATGTCCAGTGCTGTGATAATAAAGAAATACTATGATTATTTGTTCATAAGGATCGGCTGCTGAATAGTTTCATAACACAGATGAACCTTCTAAGCATTGAGATACATTAAAGAAACTAGACACTGAAGGCTACCTATTACATAATACTCTTTATATAAGACAGTCAAAATGGGAGAGTATGATAATATACTAAAATCAGTGGTTGCCGGGGCTAAATGCAAAGGAAAATAAAGAGACACTGGCAACACACACGGTAGTGATAAAAATGTTCTTAAAGTTCCAAAATTAGTCATAGCAGGGCTCAAGAGACGGGAAGCAGTTATGACCACTGACTACTAGAGGACCTGGGGTTCAATTCCTAGCACCCACAAGGTGGCTCACAACCATTTGTAACTCCTGTGCCTGTGGAAGCTGTATGGGTGTGGTGCACATTCTTACAAAATGCCCACACACCTCAAAATAGATAATTTAAAAATCAGTCATAGTAGCATAACTTAGTGAATTTATTAGATAATAGTGAAAGGCACGTGTCAAAAGAGTCAATTTTATAGTATATAAATTCCCTCATTAGAACACAAGTATAATACATGCCTCAGAGTTTTTGGGTGTCCCCCCATCTTAAATCCAGGGGTCAGGGGTTCTTGGCTGAGGTCTCTCTGGGTATTTCTGTTGATAAGGTGATACGTGGAGCTTGCTGCAAGTTTTTCCGCACACCAGCTGAGCTCACCCTCTCAAGGACCCCACAGGTAGACTCAGATAGCTTCGATGGCCTTCTCTGGTGTCCCAGCAAGGCTGAGTCCTTTCTGACTTCCAAAGTTTACTCTCAGTTTTCAAAGCAAGGAAACAGATGCTGAGCAGCTAAACAGCCTGCCCAAGGACATACATGTCGGAAAGAACCAAGGTTAAGCCTAAAAGATGCTAAAGCTCTCCACATGCCAAACTTTAGGACAAGGCTTCCCACGATACTCTACTATTTTTCAGGAAAGTGAAACTTTCAGATTTCCATCTCATAAAATACAACAATTCACTGTTTGTCAAAAATAATAAAAATAAACCAGAAATCCACTATTATCATCAGCTAAGGTGAGGCCAAGAGCTCTGTGTACTCTAAGGTCTCAACTTAATTACTACAGCAATTCAATCAATGGAGTTGGGCCATACCATTAGTAGGAAAAGAGAGGGGTAAATGACTTAGGAACATAGAAAGTCAAAGCAATAAAGGAACTCCAATAGAGTCTTGTTTGGAGAAAGAAAACAAACAGATTACTATCACAGAATGTATGGGCATGACAAGAGAAGGAAGAAAAAAACCTATCAATCCCCATGCCAAACATCAGTCAACTGATATCTGTATTTCCATCAAAGGAACCAGAGCCTACATATCAGCTGATTCGTCCCTACCAACCAATCCTGCCTTTGCTTCCTGAGTAGAGGAGAAGGATGAGATGCGCACATCATAAATTAACAATAAATTATGTTACCATCAAATTGAAAAGAAGCCATATGTAAGATGCTGTGCTGACAAAGGTCACCAAATGAATCTATGGTACCTCATCTTCCCAAACATTCCTGGTAATGTTTGGTGTAAATGCATAGAGGGCTCTACATCACACCGAATATCTGCCTGTGACAAACATGGCTAGAGCTGAGGGAGCAGAAAACAGAAGACCTTACGACTGAAGAAAGGACACGGCTGTGGAAGGTTCACAAGGAAGCCATCACGCTCCACTCGTCCCCTCTAGTGCTGACATGTGAACAGTGGGGACAGCAAACGCCATCTTCCTGCAGCACAAGGAGCATGCCACACTTGGCACTTCCTTGGCAATGTCTCCAATTCTCCACTTTATGGAAGAAGGCGCCAGGGCAGTCTCCAGTCTAAGAAGTTCTCCTTTGGAGAAGAAACCTACCGTCTCTAAAAAACAACTTGGCAAACAATGCGGCCTAGGCAACGTCCAGACTGA